ATTATTATATCAAAATTGTAATAAATTACCAAAAGTCTAATAAAAAAAATTACTACAACAAATAGTAATAATTTACAAAACTGTAGTAAAAAAATTACTAAATAAAATAGTCATATTTTACTAAAATTAATTCATGGGAATTTTTACGAATTTTAATAATTTTTTTTTCCTAAAATTGTAGTAAAAAAATTACTAATTAAAATAGTCATATTTTACTAAAATTAATTAATAAAAATTTCTACTATTTTTTCACTGCAGTTTTAGTAAAAAAAATATTACTAAATCAAATAGTAGTTTTTACTAAAAATTAGTGACAATTTCTACCAATTTTTTTTTTTTTTTGGTAATTTTTCACTAAAACTTCAGTATAAAAAAAATACTAAATAAAATAGTAATATTTTACCAAAAAATTAGTGATTTTTCTGAGAAAATATTTTCCTAAAAAAAAAGCAATATAAAATAAACTCATTTTTTTATAGTTCACAATTTGAATGAATTTTACTTGGGGTTTTAAAGCTTCTCCGTTGATTACATCGACTTGATGTAATTAAAATGAAATTCTCAAGTGTATAAGTTTGCCTGGAATCTCCTCCGTTTCTCTTCACCTCCTTTTCACTCACCCGCTTTTCTCGGTCTTGTGTTTACATGACACAACTTTCAGATATTCCATCACAAACTCCCTCTCTCTCTCTCTCTCTCTCTCTCCAAAAAAAAAAAATTTCTTCTTTTTCCTGTTCCCATTCTTTCGTCTTGTTATTCTAGTTATTTTTTTTTCCTCCTCTCTTAATGCAAATATTTGTTAGCTTAATTATGTAAATATTTAATTTTGATACCCCTCCCCCAAAAATAGATTAAATCAATATTAATTTACTAAATAATTAAATATTTAATCTATTTATTTGATTATAATTAAATTAATTTTTTTCATTATAAATATTTTAGTTAAATATTTAATAATTTAATTATTAATAAAAATAATAATAAATCAGCGATTTTTTTTTTATTAATGTTTCAATTTTTGTTAAAATATTAAGTTTTCTAAATATTTAATTTATTTCATTAAGAGATAAGTTACAGTGACTATGATGCAATTATTTCTCCTGTGACATTAAGGTCTAATTTACTTAATTATGCAAACTAATTAATTATATAGACACATTCAATTTAAGTTAGTAATTAATTGAAACGAAATATATATATATTCTGATATATTCAGACTGATGATGATGATATTAATAATAATTGATTTAATTTTTAAATACATTTTTAAAAAAGGTAATTTTTTTTAGAAAAGGTAATTTTTTAGAAAAGTTAATTTTTTTAGAAAAGGTAATTTTTTAGAAAAGGTAATTTTTTAGAAAATGAATTTTTTATTAGGGTCATTCCATTATATTTCACCTAAAGTCGTTGCGGCCTAATTTTTAAAAAACTTGGTACTTTCAGAAATGATTCTTTATAATATTTAGGAAACGAAATAAAAAGAATTAAGTTTAAATTTTTATTATTTATCTCAAAAATATGTATTTAAAGTGGACAAGGTGCGGAAAAATGTCACCTTTTTAGCATTTAGAAACTTTTTTTAAAAACATAGAAAAATTGTTAGAAGTGTAAAAAAAATTATTTTTTCTTGTTTAGAATCGATTAATTATCTATTTTTTAATGATTAAAGTAGTAAATAAATTAAAATAATATATAAAATAAGTTTTCAAAGTTGGTCTGTCAAATAACCTAATTTTGGGATTTTTATTAATTAATTATTAAAAAGTGGAATTATTAAATAAAATAAAAACTCACTGAATGTAAAGTATTTGCGGTGAACTATCAAATTTTCTTAGCACTTTTTACTTTTTCCATTTATAAATGTAAAAAATCTTGAGTCGAAAATTGGCACTTTGTTGATTTTTCCGATTTTTAATCGCTTGTAACTCTTTTGGTGCAAAATAAAAACTTTTGAAACCTGGCGGAATATTTAAGTTATATCTAAATAAAAACTCACTGTAATTTTCGTGATGGATTTTGATCGAGATTAGAAGAAAATTTAATTCCAAAATTGTACGTATATTTCCAGGTTAATGTATGTAATTTTTCGTCTTTGAAGTAGTGGCCCAACTTCAAGTTTAAAAAAATTACATACATTAACCTGGAAATATACGTACAATTTTGGAATTAAATTTTCTCCTTATCTCGATCAAAATCCATCACAAAAATTTAAGTGAGTTTTTATTTAGATTTAACTTAAATATTCCGCCAGGTTTCAAAAGTTTTTATTTTGCACCAAAAGAGTTACAAGCGATTAAAAATCGGAAAAATCAACAAAGTGCCAATTTTCGACTCAAGATTTTTTACATTTATAAATGGAAAAAGTAAAAAGTGTTAAGAAAATTTGATAGTTCACCGCAAATACTTTACATTCAGTGAGTTTTTATTTTATTTAAGAATTCCACTTTTTAATAATTAATTAATAAAAATCCCAAAATTAGGTTATTTGACAGACCAACTTTGAAAACTTATTTTATATATTATTTTAATTTATTTACTACTTTAATCATTAAAAAATAGATAATTAATCGATTCTAAACAAGAAAAAATAATTTTTTTTACACTTTTAACAATTTTTCTATGTTTTTAAAAAAAGTTTCTAAATGCTAAAAAGGTGACATATTTCCGCACCTTGTCCACTTTAAATACATATTTTGAGATAAATAATAAAAATTTAAACTTAATTCTTTTTATTTCGTTTCCTAAATATTATAAAGAATCATTTCTGAAAGTACCAAGTTTTTTAAAAATTAGGCCGCAACGACTTTAGGTGAAATATAATGGAATGACCCATTAAAGATATTTTTTGAAAAGGTATTTTTTTGAAAAGATATTTTTTGGAAAGGTAGTTTTCGGAAAGGTATTTTTTTTTTAAAGAAACAGTAATTTTTATATTTATAGAAAACGTAATTTTATTATTTAGTTAAAATTTAAAATTTTTTGCAATTGGAAAAGAAGAGACAAAAAAAAATAAAGAAAAAAAAAATGGTTAATTTTGCAATTTCCTGCAGTGTTTACACATATTTATATATTCGAGATTAACTGTCTCCTAAAGACCGGTACCTCACCTATATAGTGAGAGTCTATTTCTATCTTCATTACTTCATCCCTAGACTCTCATACTCGTTCGCCCCTTGTTCTTTGTGAGGCAGTGCTTTGCCATTCCTTAATTAATCTGCATAATTTCCTACTTTCCCGTTTACTCTCTCTTTCTCTCTCTCTCTCTCTCTCAGCTTCCCAACGGTTTTCCAACGACCAAATAAAGATGTCCCACATTGGCTTAATATCAAAATAACACGACGACATTTATCCCTTTCTCAAATTGACACTGATATCGCTGCAAAATAAAAATATACTCTTAATTTAAGAATAAATTGTACAATAATTTTACCATTTAATTTTAAATTTCTGAATTACATTTTTTTAAATTTAATTGCAAAAAATACAAAATAAATAATAAATAAAATAATAATAATAATAATAATAATAATAATAATAATAATAATAACTTTTCCTACTATCAGTAAAATAATTGAAATTTTCAATGACAGAAATAATAAAAAATTGAAACATTCAATAAAATCGAAAAAAAGCTTTTTCTCAATTCTGATTGAAGCTCTTTTTCGAAATTGATTCAATTTTTTTTTTTTTTTTTTTGTAAATTATATTATATGCAACTAGGTTTTTTTAAAAAAAAAGCTGTCACAGTTTAAAACTTGTTCTAAATGAAAAGAGCACTAATGAGTGAATTACGTTATAAATATAACATGACAGCGAAGTGTTGTTTCACACTTTACGGTAACTGTTGACGATGAATATATATACCAAAGTGTTGACGAGAGTGAGTAAACCAGGTTAACGTTTGTCGAAAAAAAAAGAAAAAAATTCTAACAAATTAAATATTTATAAATTTAAAAAAGGGCCTATTTTTTTCTAAAAATTAACTCTCTGAAATTTTGCAACAAAATTAATTTCGATAATTAACGGCGATTTAAAAAAAAAAAAAAAAAAGGAAATAGACTTTTTTTCGTTTGCGAGAAAATTGGTTTCCCCCAAGAGACACAGAAAATCCGTGTTTGATTCCCCGCTGAGAGGCACAAAATGTCTTCTGGCAATTAATTAATTCCATCTAGACTAATTCATTCGAAACTAGGATAAAAGCTGTTTTACTCAAAACTCATTCGAATAAAGTATATATTCAAACTCTAAATTACTTCTCATTGAAATAGGAAAGTGACTATTTTTCCTTTTGTATCATTTTTAATTAAAAAAAAAAAAAAACAAACAAAATAGAGTGTAAAAAAAAATTTATTTGATTCAAATAATTTGATACTTGAATAAATATTTACTTGAATCAAGTATCCAACTTGAATCAAATATTTATTTGAATTAAATAAACTACATTTGTATACCAATTGTTTCTGTATTTGAAACAATAATTTTTTTGATTTGCAACAAAATAAAATTTAATTGAAATAATTACCATTTTATTGAAGAGAAAAAATTTATTACCCTACTTGGAAAGATTCCCCGGAAAGTGCCACCTGGAGGTTCTATCAGAATTCCGCCGGAAATTACAACGTAATTCCGTCGGAATTCCAAAGAATTTCCGATGGGATTCCGACGGAATTCCAACGGAATTAGAACTCTAAAAATTTTGAAAAAAATTAATCCAAAGAATTTCCGATGGGATTCCGACGGAATTAGGACTCTAAAAATTTTGAAAAAAATTAATCGGAATTCCGTCAGAATTCCGTCGGAATCCCATCGGAAATTCCTTGGAATTCCGACGGAATTACGTTGGAAGTTCCGGCGGAATTCTGATAGAACCTCCAGGGGGCACTTTCCGGGGAATCTTTCCAAGTGGGACAACAAAAAATATACATATATTTATTTAAAGAAAAATTCTTTTTTTTGAAAATTTTTGTCTAATTTTCGAAATTTTTTTTTGTGTGTTTCAGGCCTTACTGGAAATGGCAGATGAGGTATCTGCAGCAACAATGGTAACATTCTATGGCTCATCTGTTGCACAATTGAGAGGACGTGCAGTTTATGTTCAATTCAGCAATCATCGGGAGCTCAAGACTGATCAGGCCCACAACGACGCGGTCAGTAGTCCCACAAACATCATCGCCAACCCGACGAACGTCAGTATCATTTATTTTCTTTTTTATATTATAAAAAACAAAAAAATTTTACCATTTTTTTTTCTATCATTTAGGTTGCCAATTTTTAGTTTTTCTTTTTTAGGGAATCATTTGCAGAAAATTTTAAAATTACCGACATAGAAATCTACCTTACCGACTGATGGTAAACCAGTTTTGAAAAGTTGGTAAAATTTCCAAAATAATTCTTTGCCATCAGTCGGTAAGGTAGATTCCTATGTCGGTATTTTTTTAATTTAATTTTAAAAAAACTATTTTACCACCAGTCGGCAAGGTAGATTTCTGTGTCTGTATTATTTTTATTTTCAGTTTTCAACAAAAATTTACCCTAATTTGAAATAACCCAAATTATCACGTAGGGCTCGTAAATGAAATTATTATTATTATTATTATATCTAATTAAAAATAATAATAATAATAAAACTAAAAAAAGGGAAATTTAGAAAATAATGAAAATTATTTTTTGTAATTAATTTATTCAATTTTCCGTTATATTTTATTGTTGGTCGAGGCGAGTTAATTTTGAATAGCGTTCGCCCAAAACTCCATTATAATTAAGGTTTGCGTTATATAATTTATGGACAAATCCCTGTTGCGGGAATCTATCTCGGTGAGAGTTTCACCATTGTTGTTTAGGTCAATCAAGTTTGTTGAAAGTTTGGTTGAACATGCTTTTAGTTTTGCTCGCGCACAGTCTAAGGCTATCGAGTTTTCAAGAAACAACTTCTCTCATTTCACTCGCGTATAAAAAAAAAATAAAAAAAAATTCTTTCTCAAAAGAATTAGTTCAATATTCCTGAGAAATTAACAAAAAAACAAAGAAATTATTAATTTACAAAAAATAAATTCTTTTTAACGTACAAAGGAAGCTTTATTATAAAGTTTTTATTATAAAAAATAATGCTTCAGTATCCGCACATTAAAAAATGAAAAAACAAATTTTACGTACATTGAAAAAAAAATTTATTTTATTCAAATATTTGATTATTTGACTATTATCAAATAAAAATTTACTTGAATTAAATAATTTTTAAAAACAAATAATTGAATTAAATTAATTTGTATTTGAACTAATAATTTTTGTATTTGAAACAACTATCATTTAGTTGACTCAAATAATAATTATTTGATACAAATAAATATTGTCAAATAAAAATTTACTTGAATTAAATAATTTTTGAATACAAATAATTGAATTAAATTAATTTGTATTTGAATTAATAATTTTTGTATTTGAAACAACTTTCATTTAGTTGACTCAAATAATAATTATTTGATACAATATTAATTTGATAATATAGTTTATCGTGTATTTGAATGAAATAAATTATTTTTTCATTGCATTAAATCAAACAAAATTCTGACATTGATATAGGGTCAAAGAAACATTTATTTGAATTAAAGAAAAAATTTCTTTGAAACGAAGATAATTTTTTTTTTTTTTTTTAATCAAAGATAATTTATTTATTTATTTAGTTATACACGGGTTTACAAAATACCCTTTATAATACAAAAAAAGTAGTAAAAATAAAATACAATAAGGTGTAAATGAATAGTGCGAGGCACTATTCATTTATTTGTTTGAAACAAATAAATTTTCTTTGAATCAAAGAAATATTTTTTTCTTTATGTACAATTAGGAAAACTAAGAAAAAACGTTTTTTGAATCTATTTTTATTTAATTGAAAGAAATAAAAAATAAATTATTAAAAAAATAAAAATAATAAAATAGGAATTTTTGGAATTAAATGAAGAAAAATAGAAATTTTTTTTCGCAATAATTATTCAAATGTGAAGTGATATCGAAAATTGTCAAGTATCGATCATAATCAGATGCAACAGCCTGTGTAGACTTGTGACGTACCACAGGTTGTATTACCAAGGCGCAAGTAATATATCAAGTACTTTATAGATATTTGCCTTTTGCTTGACGTGCGTCATGGGTAGACAAGAGTAAGTTAGCAAGAGAGAGAGAGAGAGAGAGAGTACTCGAAACTCTCAGGCAAGGTGTGCACACACTTTCCAAAAGTTTTCGTACCTCCGAGCTAACACATATATATATATATATAATATGTGTGGGATATATATATATATATATTTATGTCTGTGTGTAACATTTTCTCGTCCAATTTTCCGCAGAAAGCACAAACTTTCTCTTTGCACTTTGTGAAAAATAAGAGAGAGAAACTGAAACGTCGCGATGCCGCTGACTATTTACTTGCTTATTTATTTTCATTTTTTTTTTTTTTTTTTTTTTTGGCGTTTTTTTTTTCTTTCTCACCTGAAAAGTTTCTGGTACGTTGCAAAAACCTGCAATGGGAATTGGTGAGCCCGTTTCAAATGTTCATGACCACTATACACAACGTGTGAGAAAAAAAAAAAAAAAAAGTCCGCGCGCAACTAAAACTGGCTTCTATCCGCGACCTTTTCAAAACTTTTTCAAGCAAATAGTTTTTTTTTTCTGTTCACCAAAAGTTGATACTAATTTCTTCTTTTTACCGTTTCTTTATAATATGATCGAAACGAAATTTATATTTTCTTTACTAATTTTTTTTTTTTAATTCAATAATTTAATAATTTTTTGTTTACAAATTTTTGCAAAAAAAAAATAAATAAAGGAGTAAAAATAGTACGTATACATTTTTTTTTTTTTTTGCCCATGTTAATTTTATTCGCACTGGTAGAATAGTGAAAAATTCATTTTTATTTACTCTCACTCGTATTGTCGACTCTTTTTTTTTTTTTATTTTTCCTCCTATTTGTTCTTGAAAATCGGCTAAAATTCAGTGACCCTTCTCCGCGTGTAAAATTCAATTGGCAAAAAAGCTTTTATCGATTTTCGAAGATTTCATATTGTTATTGCGGGACAATTCAATTTTTTTTTTTTTTTTTTTTTTTGATTGGCTATTAACAAATTTTAAAAAAGTGCGGAAAAATAAACAAAATTATTTATTATCCCCATTTTTAATTAAATAGTAATTAGTAATAAATAGTACATGATAATAATAATAATAATAATAATAATAATAATAATAATAATAATATTTTACTAAAAATGAGTTATTATTATTATTTTAATAAAATAGTAATAATAATAAATAATAGTAGTAATTTTTACTAAAAATTATTGAAAATTTCTATTAATTTTTTAGTCATTTTTCAGTAAACCTTTAGTAATTAATTCAAATTAATTTTAATATTACATTTTAATATTACTATTTTAATCAAATAGTAATTAATAGTACTAAATAGTAATAGTAATTATTACTAAAAATTAGTAAAATAAATTTCCACTAATTTTTTGTCAAATAGTAAATTTTAATTGTTATTATTATTACTATTATTATTTTCATTTTTAATAAAATAATAATTAGTAGTAAATAGTCATTTTTCAGTAAACCTTTAGTAATTAAGGGGTTATACCTGTTTCGAGGCTTAAAAAAGGATGTTTTTAAAGACTTTTTCGTGAATACAGTTTTAAATAATCGTTGGCAACTAATATACCACTTAATTAAGCAACTTTTAAATAATGAGAAAAAATTTTATTACGAATTTATTTTACAAATTGTCGGCTGTATGGTTGCATAAAAAGTGCAATGTATTTTTGCAGTCCTCCGCGGCGAGCAGTTGAAGTCCCCTGGATCGTCATCTAGAAGCACAAAAAAATTTTTTTCATAAACTACATAAGATTATCTAGTGAAGTACACATGATCATAATTTTAGAATTTTTTTTGTAGAATTGTGAGAATTATAAAAATAAATCGCATTTTTGACCCAAAAAAATCGATTTTAATTGTTTATAAAAAAAAATTCTCTTCATCAATTTTAAAAATCGTGTGTACTTCACTAGATAATTTAACTAAGAAGCTACAGTTAAATTTTTAGCTCAATCGGACAATAACTCTTCGAGTTCTACTGCTCGCCGATTTGTAAAATATGGTTTCGAGAAAAACGCGTTTGAAGTTTCACAACACTATAATTTTTAATAATCTCATGCATTTGGTTAATAAAATTTTTTTACCTTCACTCTGCTATCCCAGCACCATATAATTGTCCCTCAGTGGCCGTATTTGTCTCTTCCAGCTCCTTTCTCACTGAAGTTATGCTCCGTCGAGCATTTTTTTTCGGAAAAATTAAAATTATGCATTATGGCGCTTCCGAAATGCTCCAGAAAAAATAATTTTAACAACATTTCCAAGTTGTTTTCGTGCAAGGACGTCATTGATTATTAATCTAGGAATGTTATAGTCTATTTTAAGCAAAAAAAAAAAAATCGAAAAAAAAATTTTTCAGGCAGGTATAACCCCTTAATTTAAATTAATTTTAATTTTACTATTTTAATCAAATAGTGATTAATAGTACTAAATAGTAATAGTAATTATTACTAAAAATTAGTAAAATAAATTTCCACTAATTTTTTGTCAAATAGTAAATTTTAATTGTTATTATTATTACTATTATTATTTTCATTTTTTATAAAATAATAATTAGTAATAAATAGTAGTTAATAGTAATAATAATATTTTACTAAAAATTAGTTTTTATTATTATTTTAATGAAATAGTAATAATAATAAATAGTAGTAGTAATTTTTACTAAAAGTTATTGAAAATTTCTATTAATTTTTTAGTCATTTTTCAGTAAACCTTTAGTAATTAATTCAAATTAATTTTAATTTTACTATTTTAATCAAATAGTAATTAATAGTACTAAATAGTAATAGTAATTATTACTAAAAATTAGTAAAATAAATTTCCACTAATTTTTTGTCAAATAGTAAATTTTAATTGTTATTATTATTACTATTATTATTTTCATTTTTAATAAAATAGTAATTAGTAATAAATAGTAGTTAATAGTAATAATAATATTTTACTAATAATTAGTGAAAATTTCTACTAATTTTTAGCTAAATAGTATATTTTAAATATTATTATTAATTCTATTATTATTAGTATTATTATTTATTTATTTTTAGTCAA